TTGTTTTTTTACTATTTTTGCAATTTGTAACAATAATAATAATAATAACTACACATATAGAGTAAGAGAATAAATAAAATATTTTTAATAGTATATTTTTAGACGCAATAATAAATAAATAATATTTTTTTATTTTTAAATTTTATATATTTTTCTTATTGAATTACTTATGTAAATGTAAATTTTTAATTCTATAATTAAATTTAATCAACGTCATTCTTTATTATTTTTATTAAAAGAAAGTATGTATAATGTTTATCAATAACAATAAAAAAAAATTAAATAATTGAAAGTACGTTTATGTTATGACGATGATATATTATATACAAATATTAAAATAAACAACATATACTTAATTCGAATATAAATTTATTTACTATACATAAACGTTCTACATTACTCATATAATTATGCCATTCACATATGCTGTGCTCTTCATTAATAAATTATAGTTAATGCTCTTGAAATTACTTCTCATTTAAAAAATTTAATTATTTAATTATTATATAAAAATATAACAGATAATTACATTATATTTCCCAAAAACATTAAATAAATAAAAATAGAGCGTAATTCTTAATCTATATTTGCATATTAAATGTGAAAGTTTCTCAGAAAATCTTCTGTTCCAAAAATTTTCAATTCTGAAGAAGACGGCTCTATACTCATTCTATATACTCATTATCACTTTTATTTAAGTGAAAAAAAAATTTTTTAAATCGAAAAATTGTTTCCCATTAATTTTTATGTATATATTTGTATATATATATGCATATTTACTTAAATATATTTAATAATACTTAAATTAAAATTCTAAAATAATGATTTGTGGTACAAGAAATTGAGCGATTGTAAATGTTTTTTTCGTGATCATTGGGAAGTCACAAATTCTGTCAATATATGATAATAAATTGTGACAAAAAATATTTTTGGAGATATTTGAAAAAAAAATTCTGAAAAACGCTAAACACGTTTTCTGCCTAAACTAGAAAGAGATGGAAAATTATATTCTTCAAATGTAATTTTCAAATATAAAAGACAAGTTTAATAAAATATCAAAAAATATATACACCAAATTTACTCAATATGTTTTGGAAGGCGGTAAGTCTTAGTCGACATTTAAAAAATTTTTGCTGATATTTTGAGAAAAAAATTAATTTTTTACTTGGAATTTCTCATTTGAAAAGTGAAAAAATTACAGGATAAGAGTGAGATTAAAATTTAAGCTATATATGTAGCTAAATATTGATATTATTTATTGTATGAAAATTTTAATCCTCTCACCTACGACTATATATGCGCGTTAAATATTAAAGATACATTATAGGGACTAAGGTAATTTTCATCTTGCGAAAATTGTAAGAAATACTGCATAATTATGTATACGTACAATATACATACGAGTATACTGTTTATTTAATATAAAAATATTTAATGTAATTATATTTTTTTTTTATTAAAATTTTCACTCAATCATGTAATATTTATTAAAACAGTAATCAATTATCTTTATAAAGTCGATGACGAATTCTCAGACAAAATGATAATAATATTAAAAATAATTGATAATAATAAATTTTTTTATAATTATAAATTTATAATTAATTAATATATATATATATATGTACTTCATTCGTATACTATAGTGAACTCTTATATATGAGCACGTGAAATTTCGTAATCTCTTTTTTTTTCTCATTCTATAAATATACATGTACCGGACATTCATTTATTTTTAATATTAAACGTTATTATGAATATACATTAGGGTAAAAGGTTCTAATTATAACTACCCAGTCTGTATAGAATTAGATTTGCATAAAATCTATTTTAAATTAATTCTATTAAATATAATAAATATAATTATTTAAATTTAATATAATTTATATATTTACATAACAGAATTCAATTTAACATTTTACAGCAAATTCACTTTAATTTCATTTTATACAATAGTTTTAGATGTTATTTATTGATTCTAAATAAATGCCTAACATATAATAGTTGTACTAAACTCACAAATTTTTCATCTTGAAGGCGAATATTATTATTTAAGATGGATGACATTTCAAAAAAATTTAATTAATTATATAAATTTAATATTTTAATTACAAGATTTTTAAAAATTAAATTGCAAAATAATTTTCCTTTCTTTTTTCACAAAGTCATTTTAGAAAATTGATTTTGTGAAAATTACTTTCAAACTGACACGTGTATTAAGTTAAAATAATTTAACTATTATATTTAACACTCATAAAAGTGGTTAAAAAAAGAATGGTTTGCAAAGTAGCAAATTTCCAAATGAAAATCCTTTTTTTTTCTGTAAAAAAATGATGAAAATTTTTTAAAGAGAAAGTAGGTAGTTATTCCCAGGTTACATAAAAATTATTAAAATTCATTTTTTTCCAGCTTTGGCGCTAGCTACAAATGTCAATTTAAACTTAAGATCAAATATTGGGTGTAAAATGTCACTGAAAATCTCTGTTTCAAATATTTAATGTCCACAAGTTAGTGTTGCCAATTCACATTTTTCGAATTTAAATCACATTATATCGAAAACGCGTTGTACGATTCGGCATTATACGAAGGATACCCATTGTATAAGTGTGTTTGTACATCATTTTCTGAATATTATATTAATATGGCATCATTATTGCATAAATTTTGGGATGAAAGCAAAATCGAAAAGAAATTGATGGAATTATGCTGCATTCATAAGGTTAATGTTAAAAGTGTATAAAAGTTTTGTAAACAGACGCACAAATTAACAGATGGACGGGTAGAATGAAGTTAGTTATTTATTTTTATTTTAAATTTTAAAGAAGTAAATATTAAATTAATAAAAAACACAAAAAATCATTAGTGTGTACACCAAACTATTATATTCAAGTGTTATAGTCTTTAAAATGATTATGCAGCAAAATCTATTTATATTTCCTGGAAATAAAAAAAAATTTTCCATTATGAATTGATGTATATAAATGCAAACATGAATTTCACTTTGATTCTTTGAGTATAATTAAACTTTTACTTGGAATTTCTTGTTCGGTTTTTAATTTTTCATCCGAAAAAAAAATTGTAAATACAAATAACTTAAAACTTATATTATCTATATACTAGTATTAAAGTATATAAGTAAATAAAAGATATTAGTACATATATATATGAAAACATGTAAGCATATATAATATGCATAATTATAATTTACCTTTACCTTGAAAAATTTACCAGGTAATTAAATTTTCTTGATCAACTCTTAACACTGTGTGTGTATAGTTTTTTTTTATATACTATATATAGCGTAATTTGAGTACATACATAATGATATATGAGCACCTTTATTTACATTATATCATTATGTTTTATATTATATTATATATACATACATGTATATTATTAATGACTCATTGTATGTTTGAATAGCTCGTTCATTTCTCGAATCGTATTTTGCGAAGAATTCCTTCCATTATCAAGGTGATGACGAAATTTTAATGTTTTGTTATATCACATATAACTACTATGAAGATCATTCCTTAAAAATTATATATGTATAATATAGGAGTTTGTCCTACAATTTCAAGGTTATATCACATAACATATTAGAAAATTGTATCATTATATCTCTTTTTTTTTCTTGTATGATTGTATTTGGACAAATTATCTTCTTATTAGTCTCTTCTATATATGCCAATATGGAAGTCAATTGTAATACTGTTATATTTATAATAAGGGACCTTATATGTAATAAAAAAATAAATCATTCTTTGATAACATTATCGTATACAATACCTATATTGCGTCAGTAAACTTGTAGATATTTATCACATAATTTTATTGCTATAGTTGTAAAAATTATTGTAGAAAAGAACCGGAAATACATTTTACTAGATACTGAATAAGTATGTATTTAGAAAATCATCAAAATAATAATATTTGTTTTTCTATTTAAATAAATACTATGTAAATAAATTGTATATAGAGTACTCGTATATACAAAAATACAAAGCTTTTTAATTCCTAGGAATGTTAAAATGCGTAGAAAGTGTAAAATTATTAAATTATTATTGTAGAGAAATTTAAGAGTTTTGTTTACTTTAATAGTAAATTTCTTACAATTTTGTAATCATAATCAAATATTACTTTAGGTTTAGGTGGTGCCATGGTTCTTTTGAATTTGATGTTTTTATAATTAATCATACTATGGTGGTGCTATACTTATGATTAATTTTTGTTGATTTTTTAAAATTTTGATATCTCAATAAATTTTTTACATTTATTTCAATAATTTTTGTATTTTATATACTAGTATTTACTTTCCCATTCTTTTTAATGCGTTTATTTTAGTAAAAATCATTGCTTGGCGAAAAGTTTAAAATATCCAAATTTAAATTAATTTGGCCAATTTTCTTAAAAAATTTCGAATTAAATGCAAGTTATTCTAATTTATATTTCAAGTTATTGCTCTAATATTCTGTAAGTAATTAAAAATTTTTTGTTAATTTCAATCAAAATTAAAAATTCGCACTTAGTGTTGTAATACTAAAATAATTGATGATAAAGTTTCTCGAACATTTTTCGAAATAAAGTTGAGCATAGCTTTCCTTAAATTTTGCAGTTCCTTTTAGAATGTTAATAATTTCTTAAAAATTTCTTATGCCTATTTCTATATTAATTTTTTAATTTCTCATTATGTATTTTGTGATTGATTTTTCACTGCGGAATTAAATATGACGCGACACTCTATAGATCTTAATTGAAGATTATTAAAAAATAGTTACTTTATAAAAAATTATAAAAAAAAGAGACCTAATTTTTTTTTTTCGTTTGAATAAATTACTAGGATTTTGCGTCTTTTTTTCTAATCAGAATTTTAGGAATTAAATGAAAAATTTCTTTTATTACATTAGAATTCACTATATTTCCAATTAATTTAGTATTAGTATTTAAAAAAAAATTATTGCGATTAAATTTTAATTTGATATATTTTTATATAATTACAGAGAGACGCTGAAGATAGTTCTGAAGAAACTGACAGAATATGTGAAACATTTCAAACACCATGTGGTTGGGCAGTTTATAAACCATTCAAAAGGAAAATTGAATATTTCATGAGAAATGCGTAAGTAAACATAAAAATATTTTTTATTAACCTTAATTAATATTATTTGAATTGCATATTATTAATATTATCACATTACCTAGTGAATGTCCTAGTTCTTTTTCGCCCTTTATTGTAATAAATTATGTAATTTAAAACATTGAGTCCTTTAACTCATATTTACAAAAAATTGTCAGATCAAATACGCAGCGATGTAGATTCTGTGGCCGAGGCACAGATTTGACTCCACTTAACGTCCTATTTAGGTGTGATGACTTGGCCCGCTCTAGATATAAATTTCTCGGGGTTTTGAACTTACATTCTCATGTTTGGAATTGCAATTGTTGTACATGACGGACCTGTTAAAATTTATCGGAAGCCTGAATCTTAATTTTTAAATGATCTGGCGAGGGGATGCACAAAAGGCCTGTATGGTCAAGGTGCAAGATTAAATTCGCCCCATACATAACATAATATAATTTAAAACATTTTGTAGGAAAAATTTGATGGGTGGTGAATTTGTTGAAAAAAAAAAAAATTCTGCAATTATAAAATAGTTTGAGTTGAATAGTACATATATGAGTTGCGAGTCTCCTGTTTACTAAGATAGTATAAATTGAATGGAAGTGCGACTTAATAATTTGTTTTAAACTCTCTTTGTAAATCTTGCCATTTCTGAAAAAGAAAACCAAAACAATAAAAACACCATGAATAATTTAGAAAAATGATCTAATAATTTTAATATAAGGATGATGCAATTTTCTCTCAAAAATTTCAAAGCTAAACCCAAAAATTTCTGATCAACTTACGTATTATTCCTTATACGTATATTTTTTCTTTTAATACTGCCCATAAATTCTTTTAATATTCATTAATAAACGTACACGAAAAAAAAAAACAACAAAATTTTGGACAGGTATATTATAATTGATGCCAAATTTATAAAACAAAAATGTGACAGAATCTCCTTAAAAAAAAAAAAATTATTATTAATATTGAAAAATTATTGGAAAAAGTCAAAAATAAAAAATTTATTTTTATTGATTGATCCTTTGGCATTTTCACAGAATTGTTTCAAAAAATACGCATTATTTGCTGTCACAAATAATGTAATAAATATGACACTTAGTCTACATATGTGACATTTTACTCTATTTTAGTAGATGCAGAATATTTGTATATATATATATATGTATGTACATAATGAAGAATAATCACACCTGTCTGTTATAAATTTAAAAAATTTTCCATTTATTGAATTTACTATTTTTATTTTGTTATTTCATAATTATTGACGTAAAAGTGTTATTTTTAATTACCTAAAATTTAAAAAAAAAAAAAAAAACGAAATATTTGACAAAATGATAATTTATAAATATCTTACCTATGTATATGGAAAAATCTCGAACTTTTAATTAATTTTTCAATATTCCATAATTTTTTTTCTAAAACACTTCAAATTTAAAGAAAATTGCAATATCTATCTCTTTCCAACATATTTATTATATATACTTGTAATAAATTTGCTTCTTAATAATTTTATTTTTGAATAAAGTCATTTCAGAATTTTAATTCACCATGTACAATAGGTCCCTCATGAAAATATTGGTCTTGAAGCACATGTCTCTTAAGTGTAATCGGTTTAATACTCTATAATCATTAACTAAATAGATGGCTCATTGATTAAATACTATAATTGGCAATAATATTTATTTTTAATATTGGCAATAATTATTAGTTTTCGTATCTTTCGGCCTTTTCTTCAATATTTAATATCGCTGGCAAAACTGTGATATCACGTAAGTGCAAATATTTCCAAAAGTACTTTACCAATTTTCTGTTTAGGAAATGTCAAACAATCCATCTTTTAAATTAACGAAACAGTAAAAACTAATAAATAATTACATATTCTTTAAATACTTTTCATATTTTCATAAATTTAAAAGATGGATTGTTTGACATTTCCTAAACAGAAAATTGGTAAAGTACTTTTGGAAATATTTGCACTTACGTGGTATCACAGTTTTGCCAGCGATATGTTCTTAATGAAGGTACCATTGACTGGCAACAGTAAAATTGAATGAAAGACTATATTTATTTTATTCTTTATTCTTTGGTAACTTTCCGATAGACTAACTTAATTAATACAATTACATGTATCATATATATATATACTCGTATATTAAAATATATTGAGAGAAAAGTGGTGAATAAGGTATTGTGCCGTTAAACAACAAGAGAATTCTCATTTTTATTCTTTTGATAAATTATTTTCAGTTCTTGTGTTATACTTATTATACTTAATTTTGCTTCTTAATACACGAAAATGATATTGTTGTAAATCAATACAATATGAACACTAAATTTCACCAAAATTACATATTTTAATTTTAATTTTTTTTATAAATAAACAAATAAATATTAATATATAAATTTTTTTTTTCATATTATTTTAGATGTAAATGTTCACCTGGTTTAAAATGTATTAGAACTGATGATGATGCTTCTGTTAGTGCATTCGTATATAAATGCCGAAATAAAACAACAAGTTCAACTGTTGCCCCAGATATAAATACAGGAACAACAATAACAACGACACTTTCACCCGAAAAAGATATTTCATAACCATAATAAATCAATATTGTATTTTATTAATTAAGCGTAAACCTATACCTATAATATATTAAATTAATATAATATATTATATATATACGTAATAATTATATAGAATTAAAAAAAAAAATTAATTGACGATTTAATGACCAATAATACCATTTAATTTTCATGACCAATAATACCATTAAAAGAACGCAAGAAAATAGAGATACTTAATTTTTAAGTCATAAGTTTTAAATTATATTATACCAAAATTTTATTTATATTTATTTTATATTATAATATTATTTTAAATAATATATAACAATTATAATAATATAAATATAATTATTATTAATAATATATTAATAATTAAAAATTATTTAAATTATATTTATATATTCATATATTTCTTTTTTTTTTTATATATAAAATTTAAAAATATTAAAAATTTTTATTTTAATAGAGACGAAAAAACTAAAAAAAAAATGGTGTGAATGAAATTTAAGAAAGATTTTTTGATTATGTTTTTTTTTTTGTTTCTTTTAAATGTACAGATATAATTAAATTAAAAATTTATAAAAAAAAAATAATAATAATTAAATTGTTTAATTATATAATGTAATTATTTTTAATTTCTTTTGTATTGTAATATTTAATTTTGAGACAATTAATAATTAAAAAACAAAGTATTTAATAAAATATTATTTAAATTTATTTTAGGAAAATATATATATATACATAGAACAATAGAACAATAAAAAGAAAAGAAAATTTATTTTAAGAAATTTTAATTTAAAAAATAAAATTTTAATTAAGTTCATTAAATATTTGAAAAAAAAAAAAAATAACAAAATATGTGTATAATTATATATAAGAAATATATCTATTAAAATTACAGAAAAAAATTAATTAAAATTCAAATTAAAATAAAACAAAATTATCTAAAATTGATTGCAATTACTCAAGAAATTATAAAAATTGTAAATTTTATTTAAATAAAAATTTATTAAATTATATTTAAAATTTTTAGAATTTGTGTATACTATACAAAATTTCTTATGTTGATTCTTAAATTTCAATTATAATTTAAAATTATATATTTGTTATATTAATATATACTATTACAATAAAATTATGAGCATTTATTTTTGGCATGTTAATAATTTTGAAAATACTGGTACGAAATAAATAATAATGTTTTTAATAATAGTCTGACTAATAATGTTTTTCATAATAGTTAATTCTGACAAATGAAAAGTACTATGCTTTATATTATAAATATTCATTAATATAACAATATTAAATAATATGTTAGAAAATTTTCATATATTTAAATATTATAATAGAAATTTATTTAATTCAAATTGCTAAAATTACAAAAAAAAACTTACTAATAAAATTTATTAAATTACAAAAATATTTTTCAATTTTAGTTTTGATAATTATTATTACAAAAAAATACATGTGTACATTAAATAATAGTATTATTAATATTTTTTGTGATTAATGCAGTAGTTATTATACAAATACATAAAATTTGAGTTTTTTGCAATCAAATTTAATTTTATATTCTTGATATTTTGCAATTATACTTAAATCAAACAAAAAGTAGAAGAAGAAAAAAATAATTAAATATTTTGTTTTTAATATTTAATAATTATGTACATATATGTATGTATGTATGTATGTACATAATAGTTTTTAGAAACTTGTCACTAATTTTGTTAGTTGAAAAAAAAAAAAGCTAAAAATAGAAATCAAATAAGAAAAAAAAAATTATACTTTAAAAATAAAAAATTTTCAAATGGGAAAACAAAAGTAAAACACTTGTTGCGTTTTCTTTTTTCTATATGTGTGTATGTATTCAAAATATTTACGGAATGGTTTTTAAATTTTTAATATAAATTTAAAATTTTTTAAGGTAGGCAAATTGGAAAAAAAAGAAGAACTGTTATACTATTATTGTATTGTATTTTAGTTTGAAGACAGAAATTTGAAGTATGATTTCAAAATAAACACTCAATTGTACATTTGGGTAACCGTACTTTACAACTTAAGTATTAATTGAAGATATACTGCAGTATAACAGAATTGAAAATTTAGTACATCACTTAAATAATGGGTGCGACTTAAAAAAATACAGTATAGAAAATTTTATTACCGTTTAAATTACTGTTATACTATCTTTGTAAATTATTCAAATACATGGAGAGTTCTAGCAAAATTTCATATAGAATAGTTTTGACACATTATATTATATTTTGATAATACATTATGTCAAAATTCTGTTATATTAATCTTTATACAATATATGTATATGCCTCAAAATATTTTCTTTTATAAGATAAATATTGATGTAATTAAATTTTGTAAATAGCTCCAATTTCACGATCCAATAAGAAATGAAGATTTTATTTATATAAATTTTAAAAGAAAATTACCCTGAAAAATTTAACAATTGGATTCTAACTTGCAATTTTAAATATTAAATAATAAATTTTGTTTTATTAAATTGAATTCCAATTTAAAAACCTTAATTTCACAGAAGTATTATAAATATAACAGAATTGTAATTAATTATAAAATCACTATAATAAAATTACTAATTATTATAAATTATATTTATTAATATTTTAATAATATCAAACATTCATTTTATTACAAAAAATTATTATTATTTGGAAATTTAATAAATGGTCCACAACATTTCATTGAATATGGAAAATTAATATGTTTATTTTTAGAATTAATTTTTTTAAATGTAACATTTTTATTATTGGCATCTTTTATAGCGACATCTTTGGGCCGACAAAATAATTTCAAATTAATTTTTTTGAATTTTCGCATAATTAATTGTAAAATATAGTCTCCGACTAAAGTTTGTTGTTTGAAAATTTCTAAAATGGTAAAAAAAAACAAATTAGTTGTTATATTTAATATAATTATATATATATATATATTTAAGTTTAATATATTACCTTTCTTCATCATGATGTATTTTATTCCAATATAATTAATTTATATATTTTAATGAATATTTTCTTCGTTACATCTCGTTAAAAATTTCTAATGCAACTAATTACTTGAAAATTATTTTCATCATAATTATAACCATAATATTATAGTGAATATAACCAGTAAATATATTTTATAATTAAGTTGCATTACGTAACAATTGTATTAAATTTCATTAGAAATATTATGGATATATATATATACGCTGTAGATATTTGCACCTGTTATAATAAGCTAAATGCTATGATTTTTCGCAACAATTAATGTGCAAACCATAAAAAGGTAAAATTATTATATTTTATTATATTATAATATATAGGTAAGATATATGCATAAATTATTTATATATACATTTTTTACCTTAAATAATAATTTATAGAATTAAAATATAAAATTAAATTTTACCTGTTTTTGTTTTTTATTATTGTACGTTCATATATGCCAAATGCAATTCATATATATATAGATCTATGGGATGATATATATTGATATATTTTATATACATATAAATAATCAGAATTTCTCATATGAATGCCTGTAATAATAAAATAAATTAACTAATTAATATTAAAATAATTAGTATGTAACGATTACTTTTCTTATTGTATTTAACTTATTAAATTTATTATACTTTTATAGCTATTATTATATTCGTGATTTATTTAGGGTTGCAAATTATGAATTTAATTAAAATATTCATATATATTTCTAATAAATATTTATATTTTTAATTTTAATATTTAAAATTTTTAACTTTTTGCTATAATAGCATTCTTTAGGGAATATTCTTTGCTATATACTGTTGGTAATAGTTTGTTACTAAAGTAATTGCTAAGAGTAAAAAATCAACTGAAGTATAATACAAAAACCAACACAAAATAATTTTAAATGTAAGAATTTCATAATAAATATTAAATTTTAATAATAATATTTTATTAAATAACAAATAATTGTAATTTGTCAAAAACGTTTTCAATATATTTTTCTTATTGTGAATAAATATTCACACACTGAAAAAAAAATGCATAGCAAATTTTGTCATATTTTATGGTAAGGTGTTTATAGTAAATTTTCATATAAAATGTGGTAAAAATTTTCATATACCATATGAAATCCTACTATTTTATAGCATCCCATACAACATACATAGCAAAATTTACATATGGTAAAAGTTGTTATATGTATAGCTAATTTAGCTATGTTATTATCAGGAATATCACAATAAAATATAGCTGAACAAACACAATATTTTTTTACAGATAATGCTATAAAATATAACAATATCCCTTATGTATTATATGAACAAAAATAATGTTACAAAGTAGTTTATACAATATTTTTATAGTAACTCATACAATATTGTAGTACAATTTGCATATGGTAGAAATTGTTATATGGATAGCTAATTTGGCTATGTTACTATCAGAAATATTACAATAAAATATAGCTGAAAAAAGACTAATTTTTTTATAGGTAGCGCTGTAAAATATAGCAATATATTTTATGTAACATAAGAGAAACAATAATGTTATATAATAGTATACACAACAATTTTTTGGAAAGAAAAGTTCGATTAAAGTTCAAGACGCTAAAGGTAATTCAACTATGTATTTTATATTATAAATGACATATATTGTATTGTATGTCATTATAAAAAATATTACCATAAATTACATAAAATATCTGAAGAAAGTTTCCCTATAAAACACAATAAGTTATTATAAAAAAATAAGAGTATTTTATTTAACAGAGTGTTAAATATTTCTTGAAAATCAAAGACGTTTAAAATTAAATGTACATATGTATGTATGTATGTAGTTCAAATATTTCAATTTCAGAGACCTACTATTAAGCATAAAATTCTTACAAAAAATAGATACATATACAAAAATTGTTTCATATTAAAACAATAACAAAAATATTTTACTGTTTGTGAATCATGACCGTCAGGAATGTTTTTTTCTCTTTTTTAACTTATTTCTTGTTATTTACTAAGAATTTAGAGAAAAAAAAAATAGACCAAAAAATAGCCACATACATACAACATACATGCATATGTATTAGCATACATAAGAAATTTGTAGCGATTAGTGAAGCAATTTCAAAATACAGAGTTGGCTATATGGATGGACAAGTGTTCATTTTTTATAATTACGTACATACATATATCAGTATTGGCATAAATATATGTATGTAGTTACTTTGCTTCCAAAAATCAAAGTACATATATCTATTCAATAAGTAATTCAATTCGTCCAATGCCGTTAGTTTTCGTTTTCAAGTTACTTCCAAATTCTCAACATATTCAATTTTTATTTAGAAATAGATGAAAATAAGATTTGTGTAGGTAAGAAAGAAACAAAATATTCCAATCAAACGAGTGAAATAAAAGTAAATTAAGTAGATAAAAATTTTGTTATTTTTATGTTGATAACAACAGAATTTATTTTTCATAATAGCATAGTATGTTACTTTTCATTTTAAGTATGTTACTTTTCATTTAAACGTATATCTACTGCTTTTATGCGAAAGCATTTGATATACGTTTAAGCCTTCATGTACACATGCATGTACCTGGTATAGCAGATACACAGTATCAGGTAATGATATAGAAATAATGCGATTTTATACTTAAACGTACATACGAAAAAACGGTAGACCTCTACTGCCTACCCTTTCCTCTCCCAAGAATTCCTATTTGTATAAAAATGGAAATAAGAAGGTATACAATAGGCTTAACTCTTTTAGCTAAGGGAATTTTTGGTATACAAATAGTGGTGAATGATTGCATCAGTGTGATGTAAACGCAGAGTCGAATTACTTATTAAAATAGACATACTTTGCTAAAAATGTCAATCTTATGCACATATTGATACAAATTTGCTTATTAAAATTGCTCAAATAAATATTCGTCAAAGTAACACAAAAATATTGTACATACATAAAAAAGAAAGCGAAATCTGATTTTTTCATAATGTTTTTTTAATTTTTCGAAAGAGCTAATTTTAAGACTGTTTTCATAACAAGAATAAAAAGGTTTTTAAGCTAAACATTTCTCCTTCTATTTTTTAATATGTACAAACATATATATGTATATACATACATACATAATTATATTTTTATAACATATTATCACACTTTAATTATTAAAAATTTTTTATTTTGGCTTGTTTAAAAAATTTGTTATAGAGTAAAAATTATTTTACAGCTAGCTAAAGTAAAAGCATGTTAAAATGAATAAACGACCAAGTTTATTTATGTATTTGCCAATTTTATGTTGAAATATGTACATAAGTATGTATGTGTTTATATAACACTGCAAAGCCTTATATGTATGAGCATTTTTGTATTTGCATATTTGCCAGTACGTAGGTACGAATGTTAAATTGACGACAGGTCAAACCATATCATATTCAATTTACAATACTTGTGTTTATAATAGGGATGGCACAGAAAAAAAAAAGTATCCTAAATTTTTAAAGAGAGTGACATGGAGAAAATTTGAAAAAAAAATTAAAATTTTAATTTTTGCTCTTGTATGTATGTAAATATAAATTAAATAAACTAATTATACCCTTTCTTTTCACAACATATGTACATATGTACATACATAAAAGTAAAAATATGCCATTAAAAATGGCACTACCGAAGATATATTTTATTTTTAAGGGCATATTTTGGCTTTTAGGTGTGTTGTATGGCAGGCAACAGAAAAACTGAAGAAATTAATTAAAAAACTGAAATAAGCATTTACCTTTTTGCATAGAGGTAAAAATATTAATTTACTGAAATTATTTTTGAATTTATAAAATTTTTCGAATTTTCAAAACAATGAATGTTTTAGGTAAAATTAGTAAACCTGCATATATCATATTGTCAACCCTGTTTACAACAGGTTCATACTCGATTGTAGAATAGATGTGTATGTATAACTCAATATGCATACAAATATTGAGTATGTATGTATACATATATTTTGCGTTTTGCTGTACATTAACATAATAATGTTATTTCAACAAGAAAGAATGAAAATTTCTTATTCTTATATTATAGTTTTAAGAAATGTCAAATTCTAAAAAGAAAATTCAAATGCGTATGAAACCTTTACTAAAATTAAAAATCTCAATCAATTTTCTAAAGTATAATTTCCAGCCGATTTCACAATTCCCTCCTTTTTGACAATGTATCAAATACTTATTCGCATAAACAAACTCTGGGTTATTTAGAAAATATGTTTTAGTATAAGTAACGTAAAGTAAGTATACAAAACTATGGCATGAATATCTCAACAGGTTCAGAAATTCTTTTGTACTTACAGCCCTTTTAACACAGTTGAAAATAATCGTTCTTACATACTAAATAATAAATGTGCAAATTTTTAAAATATATGTATGTAGGTGATATGTATGTATAGTTTGACATTTCTTTTTTCTTTATTACATTTCTATAATGTATTAATCATTATCTAACAATTTATTTAATTGATTAAACAATTTTATAAAAGAAACGATCTTATTTAAAGAAACTGAGGCTGTTTCTATGTTTGGACCCCGCTGATTCGTAAGTGAATCAATTGAATACCTCCAAACAACCTTTCAAAATTTACAAATATCGATTTATGTACCTATGTATGTACATGTTAATGCAAAACATTAAATGGAAAACGATATTAATTATAAAAGTGAAGAGTAAATTATAATTAAAATTTAAAATTTATCGAAACTACTTCCGCAATCAATCCGTAAAAAAAAAGACATTAATTAATTTGTTTAGGATATAATATACATATGTACATAATAATATGCACACTCTGTTCCTTTAATTGAAAAGTATTTAAATAATTTAGCATCATTCATAATATCTATTTAATATGTTATAAAATGTTATGCTCAACAATTTTTTTATAATGTATTGTACATTATTATTTTTTCTTTTTATGGAGTAAAGGGTTAATTTTTTTTTTTAAGAACAAAGGGTTAAAAAAAGTTAAATAATGTTGTGAGTTTATTATTTTCTTTGTTGTTTTCTTTCCCTTTCCAAAAACTAAGTTGTGAGAAAGAGGAAGAAAACTTTGTTAATTATTGGTGGAGTTCTAACGGAAGACAAATATTTTTATAATTTTTTGTTTTTATTTCTTTTGTCACTTTTTGCTCTATGAAGATATTGCCAACATTTTTTAATATACATATGTCGTTCTTACCTTAGGATTAAAAATTATTTGTATAAAGCATTATTATTTTTTATGGTCTCAATTTTATAACTAATATTTAAAGGAGTTTAGAAATGGAAAATACTATTTTTAGTAATATTTTTTTATTAAAAAAGAATGTAAACATAAAACTATCGACAAATGTCATATTTTTGACTATTTTTGCTTAACATTTTAATAAAAATAAAAATATGCAAAAATTTTGGAAAAAGTGTAATGGTTTTAAAAAATTAAAAAAATAAATTATTTATTATTATTACTATTATTTAAATAAAAAATAAATTTTAAAAAATTATAATCAACTAAATTCTCTACGAGTATTCCAT